ATGTTGCCTTGTTGGACATCCCCTCAAACAAGGCATTCTAGGAGGACGCGACTACCTTCCTGAAAATGTCGCCACTTACATTTGCCCTTAACCATGAACCTGTTATGGTTAGAGAGGCTTTTCAGCAATTCTAGTTCACTGCTGAAGTAGTACAAGAAGAAGACAAGCACGGTCGACAAGTGGAGAAAATCATCTTCACTTTCAACTGCATGACTGTGAACTTTAGCGTGGCTACCTTGAGACACGTTCTTCATTTCCCTAAGGGCCCCTTCGACAGCGAGCTCTCTACATCCAAGATCATCAACTGTCTCGACGCCATTGGCTATCAGTGGCCACTGAAGAAGGTCACGAACGAGCCCATCAAGTTATTATCCAAAATAGAGAAGAACAGGATGTCAGCTATCTGGCAGTACCTGTTCTCTTACTTTATCCAGTCAATGGGTGGGAAAACTGGAGGATAGGACCAAGCCTCTCGTGTTGCCCTGATGATTGGAATTTCTGCGATTCAGCGTCGCAATATAAATTATGTTGCGGTCATTTTTGATGACCTGGGGCTAAAGCTGAACAAGCGCCAGCGAGAAAAGGTGGTTCCATACACCAGGTTTCTTTCTATGGTTTTCGCCAAGATATTTGGCGAAAAATATTCCAAGGAAGGTAACCTCCCAGTGTGTAGGATTGGGTCCAGGATTCTGGATCATAAGCTTAGGGAAGATGTCGCACTCTCCTCCATAGTGCCCTTCTCTCCTTCTTCTCCTCAGCTGGTAAAGACAAAGGCAACCTCCCCCGCATCGTGTAGCCCAGGCACCAAAATCCCTTCTTCTAAACAGCCTTCTCAACCAACTCTTGGTTCTCCTCAGAGAGCCAAGAAGGCCAAAAAGGGGATAGCCACATATCTGGCTGAGACCTCTCGACAGGTTTCAGCTATTGAAACTAGCCTTAACCCCGAGGCACCTTCAGCTAACCTCCCTAGCTCTTTAGTGATCACAGAAATCACTGTCGTATTAGTGGTACCTACCCCAACTGCCTCAGTGACCCAAATCACTTAAGGTGTGAATATCAGCGCCGCCACCATTGAACACCCACAAGTTGTCTCAGCCCTCTCCTCCTTCTTTGGTCGCTACACGTGTTCATGACTCATCAGGGAATGTCCTCCCTGATGATGAAACACACACCACTAGACCTGAGGTTGCTCTTTTCGAGGCTCCTCTATATACAGATGCTCATCCTCTCGACGGCATCATAGAGCAATCCAGTGCTAATTCGTTGGATGTCACTGATGGCCCCTCATGTACTCCATCGTCCTACCCTTTTATTTCCTCTAACCCCGAGCCTTTATTTGCTCACTCTCCGTCTCTTACAGGTCCTTCTGAGTATGACGTGATTGACGAAGACGAAGATGATGAGGATTATGACATGGCGTCTGATGTCAAGCTCCTCCTCCCAACCGTCGATACCGTCTTCTGCAAGATGACCGAAGTTTATCGAGACATGCCTCGCAAGGCTGATGTCGATGCGGACCTCTCAGCTGTCGAAGTTGAAGTTCAAGAAGTCAAGAGTCAACTCTCGACTCTTCAAGAGGTTGTTCGAGCCAATGCTGAAGCCATCGCTACTCTCTCCAGCAGGGCTGATGAAGCTCAAGCTCAGTCTCTCCAACAGATAGAGCTTCTCCAACATGTCCTGGATGTTGTTCGCCAACCAGCACCAGTGATCCCTCCATCTTTCACCGCTGATGACCACGCTCAGCTCAATGAGACGCGCGAAGCGACGATCAACCTAGCTAGTGCTTTGTCACGGTTAGAGGAGATGATGGTTCTACAACATCAACGCATGGACAAACTCTCTGGCCTATGCTCTCAAGCCTCAGCCAAAGAGGGGGAGATAAGGTCCAACGCTGCTGGACCATCTGATGCTCCAACAATCCATGACGTTGAAACTGAAGCTCCTAGAGCTGAAGCTAAAGTTGAGATTGCCCATGTTATCCCAACCTCTGGTGAAACTGCTATAGCTGAGGAAGTTGATGCCATCCCTCGTGATGATGACCTTCCCATCACCTCTGCACCTGTTGCTGGTGATGTGGAAGAAGAAGTTGATGAAGAAGAAGACGATGAAGGTGATGAACCTGATCTTTTAGACTCCGACAGTGACCTCGATGGCGATGATGAAGATGACTTCACCATCCAGTTCCAGCATCCAACAACCGCCACCAAAGGAGTCTCCCTCAGGGATTCCACATCCCAGGGGGAGCAAAGGGAAGAAGAGTCAGCATCTCAAAGGTGAGTTCTTTTAAACAACCAGACTTTGAACTACTGGTTTTGTGATTTTTGATTAAAACTGTTGGGTATAATGCATTTTATACGTTTACGTTCTTATAACATTCATTGACCAATAAGAGCTTTTAATCGGACAATGTGGTATCCGATGAGGACTCCTCATCGGCTAAGCCTTGGTCGGTGAAGAGTTTGGTGATTTTAAAGTGTTGACCGATGAGGTCTTATTGGACAATTCATTCGACAGAGTCATGACTGTAGGCGGCCTCTAAAGCAAGCCAAACGTCACGAGCGGGTTGGAGCCTAAGCAATTCAGCCATGACCTCTTCAGAAAGTGAGGAATGAAGAAAAAGAAGAAGAACACGTTGTTTTAAATTCTTGAGTGGACGAGCTTGAGCCATCAGCAGCAGAGATGGTGATTACTGGGGTTTCACAGAGCCATCAACATAACCCAATAAGCTCTAAGAAAAGAGAGGGGTTGGGAGAAGAAGAAGATCCGGCCATGTGGTTTCACTTCTACAATGATTGTGTTCTGCTGTATAGCTCTCTCTTATCTGATATATCTATTCTGTTCTACAACAATTAAGGTGATATCTCAAGACCTACAACATTGGCAACTGGAAATTTTGCCAGAGTAACCGATCACATGAATATGGCAAATGATTATCAATGTTGCATACAAAGCCATTTTAATGACTAAAATCTTCCTAAGTTAAAGTATTAATTACTATTTAAAACCTTTTATTGTTTTAATGTGTTAAATCTAGCTTTCTAACATTATGGCCAGTCAACTGTTTATTGCATGGTTACATAATTGGTTTGGTACAATTAAATTTACACATTGCATTTTTCCTTTATATTTGTTCAAGTTTTATATTCCGCTACATTGCAGCGGGGTAGACGACTAGTATATATGCTATAAACTACAAAGTAAGAAAATCAAATATCGTGTTACAAAAACCGAGTATTGGCCCATGATGTGCCACATGTATAATATGGCTCAAACATGACTCTTGAGCCAAGGTGCACCGTATATGACGATTGCAATGATGAGTCTTTGAACACTTATTAAATAATACAATACAATTACCATTTTTCAAAATTTAAAACCTAAATATTAAGTCAAAGATATATCGTACTCAAATTGCTTTGACAAAAGCATCATAAATCCCCATTTTTTCCACAAAATATATCATTCAAATCTAAATCATTTAGCCTAAGCTTCAATATTGAATTTAAATCTTCACTCATTCTTCGCTAGTGTAGAGACATTTGAGGGGGTTAAGAACCAACCATTATTCGTGGTCTACTAATAGAAAATTGCTTTATATTGTAAGAAGCATTTGGTCAACATTTTTATGTCTGAAGTCTGAAAATTGAATCAATATAAACACAAACAAAGCCTTATAACAACTAAAACCAATATTCATTTTGCATTAATTGTGTCGCCATCGTTCCCTTGCTCGTTGGTTTGATCATACTCAAGAAATAACTCATATATAGGAGTGATCGATTTGCAGAGATCGTTTTGCGGAGATTGATTTGGATCGGTAGCTTGATACCGAGCGAGAGATCGATATGGTGTCCAGATTGTATGATTTGCATAGATCTGTATGATTTGGTATCTGGATATCAAGCGAGAGAGCGAGCGATCGATATGGTGTCCTCGTGTGCGAATAATAGCTCATTAAGAGTTTAAACTACCACTTAAAAATTCAGAGGACTATTAAAAAAATCAAACAGTCTAGAAATAAAAACATCTGACCGATTCAGACTTAAGAGGTATTAGAAGATTTAAAAAAAAAACAAACAAGCCCTAATGGTTGTTACTCATTCTCAAACATCCATCCTACTTTGTTTTGTATAGATTTTTGGAGAAATACTATTATTTATGCCGAATGTATGGCCCCCGTATTCCTACAATGAGGGGATAAATTCCTATCAGTTCTCTATGAACCAAACATATGTTCATCATCATAATGAAAATACACGAATGAGGACTTTACTTAGAGCCATTTATCAAATACTTACCTGGATAAATGCTTACCGGTAAATTCAACATTATCACTTACTTGCCGGACAAGATTTTAGTCCCTCAAAACGGTATCATATGCAACAATTTACCCGGTAGGCGTTTACCGTGGTAAGAGTCGTCGCCCTCACTTACCGGGTAAGTCTCTCGACCCTTGGTTTCGCTCTTACCGTGTAAAATCATATTCATCCGATAAGGTAATGTTACTTGTTAAGCATTTACCCAGGTAACTGTTTGTAAACGACCATATGAACTGTATTAATGCTCACAAACCGTAAAACGGTTCAATGGCAGTCATGTCTACTACCGTCTGAAATGGCAATGGACCAGGTTCATGTGTAACCTATGGACCCTAATGTTGCACGAAACCAACTAGGAAAACGCATGGTAATCATTCCCTTACGTACCGTATAGTTTTTGTTTTTCCAATCTATGATTACAACAAACGCAAAATAAACGAGTTACGTTTGTAACGAACAATATAGGTAACGGTCGTGTCGTGTTGGCGATGTGGCAACGGGACAAGGTCATAGCCACAGACCACCATGGGTTGGCATTGAACTAACGTGGATCAAACTTTAACGGACGTCTTTTGCAATAATTCATATCTCTAAAAGATCAGAAAATGGCCAACTGGCAGTTTTGGTTCATTATAAAATAATGCTGCCAAAGGATAGAGCTAAAGACAAAATAAGCCTTGGATTTGACTCTCGTTCATTTGGTGTTTCTTCATATAATATATTCACAAACCCATATTCACTTACCTCTGTCTCCTACTAGCAATCACGAAAACACCCACATAAATAGAATTCACATATGAATAACATGTCAACTTGTGAATGTAGTAGTGGATGTGAATCGGGTTGGACCATGTATTTGGATCAGTCCTTAAATTCTGGAGATGGGAAATGGTCGTATCATGAAGATGATGAGGATTTGTCTATGGTTTCTGATGCATCATCTGGACCAACCAGACACAAGATTCATGATGAAGATGAAGATGAAGAAAGCAAATATGGGTTTTGTTATGGTTTGAATTCTCAAGAGAAGAGGAAAACAAGATTAAAGAAAGATGATGATGATGATACTGCAAGTTCTACTGTTTTCACAAAGGTATGAATTGAATGATCTCAAAACGCTTTTATAACATCCTCTCCAATCGATTATCTACGATCAGAGAATTAGGAAGTGTTTACAAAAGCACTTATCAATTTATTATAAGTCAGAAATGCTTAACTTCTTCAAAAATCCTTTATTTACCTGTTTGGTACCGGTATAAGTTTTTATCCAAACACTCAAAAGTGCTTATTACTTGGTGACACCTCGGAATAAGTCAATAAATTATTTTTATAAGTAATCTCAAACAACCCTTTTATAACTATATATAAAAAAGATAGTGCAGCATAATTCAGAAAACTTTCTAAAAATATATTTTTTATTATTTTTAAAAATAAATATTTAAATAAGAAAAACAATACTTTACTTGGATATTTTGAATATTATAACTTTCAAAATAATATTATTCTTGAGTTAAATGTATTTTTTTCTAAATATTTTAAGGAATATTATATTTAGACACTTCTTAATTATAAATAATCACTTTTTATTTTTATTTTTATTACCAATCATTAAGACTTATAGGCCGTTTACCTAAATGTTTATCAGGTAAGTGTTTATTGTTAGGAGTCAACATTATAATTTATTTTACCGAGTAAGATTGTAGTACATCAAAATGATATCGTATGCAACAATTTACCCGGTAAGCATTACTCGAGTAAGAGTCGTCATCCTCACTTACCGAGTAAGACTCTTCATCTTTATCATTGTTCTTACCGGGTAAGATTTTTGATCCCTGTCATGTTTATCTAGTAAGGAAAATTACCCGGTAAGCATTTTCCGGGTAAACGTTTAGTAAACGGCCCCTTAATTATTCTTTTTATTTTTTTGATAAGTGATCAAACTACATCTTCATTTTCAAAAAATAGTTTTAATTATGAATTGAAGAAAATTGTTACTCATTTTATTATCAAAAATAAACTACCATTTATTTAATTAAAAAGTGTAATAAATATTTATTTCTAAAACTATGTTTTTTTAATTTATCTTTCGGATGGAAAATTTAAACAGTTTTCATATGTTTTAGACCGAATCTGGATTGTTGAAGAAAGCATCATCGGGTGCTAAGAAGTGTGCATCAGAAAAGTCAGGTAACGATTACTCTCTTTCGCACTAATATATACTAGAAGCGTACTCGCGCAATGCAGCGAGATACATCATGATTTTAATATTTCATTTTCTTCTTTATCTCAGTCGATATTATWATATGRYTTTATGTGATTTTGAGAAAGCGATAATGTTTTTATTTTTGAATAAAATATATGTTTGAAGATATCATAAAAATTTGACAAAAATATATCGATATTAGTATCAAATTAACTATTTGAAAT